TCCTTAATGCCCATCACCCATCTAGCCCATCTCCCACCCCCAGGGATCATTTTTAAGGAGAAGAAGGTGGTGATATAAGAGTGAGTGGCCTACAGTGTAAAAGTGAGGTCTTCGTACCTATGGGTCACGGTTTGAAAACTGTCATTTTTGCATCACTGGGGGATTAGAATATGCTTGCCCTGCCTGGTGGTATGTGGGACTTGACCGGAGGTGAGAGGGACAGACCAAGTTCAGTAAAATAGTAGAGGCAGTAAAGGTACTGAAGTTTTAGGAGCCTTTGTTTACCCTGGAATAGATATTTCTGGAAAGCTTGAGAGTGGTGGCAAGCTGGGTCAGGAGAGATGAGACAGGGATGAAATACAGGCTCAGGAGGCTCAGTGACAGGAAGAGCTTGAATTTGGGTGGTAGCCAGCAATGACCTGGATGTGAGGCATGAGGGCTTCAAGTTTCCAAAAGGAACTCTGGTGTAAAGGATTTTGTTTGCTTTAGGTGCTAGCTGACAGATTGTTGGTGAGAAACTTTAAGTGGCAAATACTACTAATAAAATTGTGGTGGGAGAAGCTAACATTTGTATGCCAGGCACTGTGCTAAGCATTTGATGTGGATTTATTTTACTGAATCTTTAGAACCACTCAAAAGAGGTAGAAATTCTGTCATAATTTAAGTTTTTTAAATGAGGAAAATGGATTTTAGATGATGTGGATGGCTCTGGGTTGTGGTCCCGTTTACTCTTGGAGCTGGAATTTGAACCCAGGCAGCATGAATGGAAACCTTCTCTGGTCTCCGCATTGACTTCAGGATCTGAAAGGAGGAAGCTTGATTACTTCCTAGAACCACACCTGACCTTTCACTGAGGGAGGGTTCAGACTGTTGTGCTGAATGCATAGATTTTAAATCAGGGGTCATCAATGACAACTGCAGACATAAATTTTAGAGTTTAATTTATTTTTCATTTTGGTTTTGATTGCACAGTATCATGAAAAGTTTGATACACTCAAGAGACGTAGTAGTTAATGGTAACAGGACATTTTAAAAAATACCTTGAGGGGCGCCTGGGTGGTGCAGTCGGTTAAGCATCCGACTTCAGCAAGGTCACGATCTCGCGGTCCGTGAGTTCGAGCCCCGCGTCAGGCTCTGGGCTGGTGGCTCAGAGCCTGGAGCCTGTTTCCGATTCTGTGTCTCCCTCTCTCTCTACTCCTCCCCCGTTTATGCTCTGTCTCTCTCTGTCCCAAAAATAAAATAAACGTTGAAAAAAAAAATACCTTGAGTTTCCCTATAGGAATAATACTCAGGTAATTGGAAATGGCAGGAAAAGCTGAAAATGAGTCAGTGTGTTAGTAGTCTTTAATTATGTTAAACTTTGGTTCATAATATTTGAATATACATTTGAAAATCACAGCTTTTTAAATAGTGTATGCATGTGTAATAACCTGAAGTAGTGTGTGGGAGTAACAATCTGAAATTCATCCATTGGAAATTTATTTAATTAGACTATACTGCTTTCTCCTGGTTGATATTTAGACTGTTTTTCGACCTCAGAACTCCCCCTTTAATATCCTTCCTGGGATAAAATGCTGAGCAGCACTTGAACCTATTAAACTTACCTTGTAGTTGAAATTTACTGACTTCCCTTGTGAATAGATAATTCAGTGACTGGACTGGCATGGAACGTTCTTGAGCAGCAGAAAATAGTCCCCCGCCTTTCCAACTCTCTCCCTTTTCTTTATTTAGTTGTGATTACCACCCACGGAGCTCCCTTGTGGTAAGGGTTCCCAGAAGCAGTTGATTTTATAATTTGTAAAGACTAAGAGAAGCCTCTTGAGAGATTTTGCCGGGAGGCATAACTTTCTTGTTTATAGTTTCCTAGATTTGTTTCTCTGAACCCTTGTTTTTATAAATGTTGATTTGCTTGAGGCAACAAATTTAAAAACTTTTTACTTCTCAGGGCACCTGGTGGCTCAATTGGTTGAGTGTCCAACTCCTGATTTCAGCTCAGGTCATGATCTCATGGTTTGTGAGTTCGAGGCCTGCATTGGGCTCTGTGTTGACAGTGGGTAGCCTGGTTGGGATTCTCTCTCTCCCTCTCTGCCCCTTCCCCACTTGTGACTCATGCTCTCTCTCTCTCAAAATGAATAAACATTAAAAAAAAAAAAAACTTTTTACTTCTCTTTACAGTAGGAGAATTGGGAGAATAATAAAGCCAAATTTTTGCTTCTCCCTTTGTAAAAAAGAATAATAATAACTACAACAGTAAAGTTGCTGACATTACACTGTGTTCGTGTTGAATTCTCATGACATAGCATAATAACTATTACCATCATTATTTTACAAGTCAGAGGATGGTCTTGAAACAGTTGAGTAACTCGAACATAAATGGTGGAGATGGAATTTAAACTCCTGGGATGTACTAGAAGGGCTCTGTAGCATAATTTCAGATCAGGGTATCAGTTGGAAGTTGGGGGTGGAATAACATTGGTGATTTTTCTGCTCTTTATTTCCCCACATTAAAAAAAAAAAGGAATTTGTCCTGTATATACTATATAATGTGTTCATGCATGCACATAGTTCTTTTCATGCTGTGGAGATTAGCACAGGTTCTTAGAAAAGATGATTAAATTGAGACCATGAGCTCATATTTATTTCTTTTTTTGTTATAAAAATAATTAATTAATTTAGGTCGAGCAAGGGAGGGGCAGAGGAAGAGGGGGAGAGAGAGAGAGTCCCAAGAAAGCTCCACACTGTCAGCACAGAGCTGGACAGGGGCTCAAACTCACAAATCGTGAGATCATGACTTGAGCCAAACTCAAGAGTTGAACGCTTAACCCACTGAGCCACCCAGGCACACCCTGAGCTCATCTTTCAAATCATTTGTCAAGGAGCATGTCTCATACTGTGGCTGAGAGCAAGCTCTGCAGGGCATGGAGATCTATGCAGAATATTGGAGAAAGGGTGTGTGTGGCTCCCGCTATCATGGCCAGGTGGTGGTGTTAGAGGCTGCCAGGCCTGGCGTGGGCTTTTGCGGCTGCAGCCTGCACCAGGTTCCTGGTTGGCCTGGCCTCCGGCTCTTGTGGCAGCTGGGAGGAATAAAGGGCTTCCTGTCTGAGCCTAGCACTGCTGCATGTCAAAGGCTTTCTTCAGTCTGGGACTGTAAAATTTTCTACTTTCAGTTCTTTGACTCTGGCTCTTCTGACCTCTGACTTCTGTGTTGTATTTACAGTCTCTGGGCAAGACTAGATTGACGAGAGTCTTAAACATGATCTGCTTCTCCCTCCTACCTCCTCATTTTATAGATGAGGAAGTTGACTCACAGACGTGAAATGTATTATTCACAGCGGTGGGAGTAGTGGCCAGAACTAGAAGCCAACCTCATGACTTGAGTGATTTTTTTCCTGTTACAAAATGACTTGTGCCTCCCTATATATTGCTTCCAGTTCTTTATTTACTCATCCTGATCCTGGCTTCCCGCCTGTCTTTCTTGATCCCTTGGCTTTCATCCTGCACTGATGGAGGGAACAGTTGTTTCTTGGTGTTAATCCCAGCTTTGGAATCACTGTGTGACCCCTGGTAAAGTCACTTTGTGTCTTAATATCATTATCAGCAGATTAAGTAGGACCCTTGTTAGAGAGGTTCTTAAGAAAATGTCAATCATGTGAACTGGTGACCTGTTTTATTTAGTGAAAGAGACTTTTAGAAAATTAAATGAAAATGAACAAAGTATAGGGGAAAAAATCAGTTAATAAAGATATCCTGTTGAGTAAACTGAGAAAGGACTCATGAGAAAATTAAAGAGACTTTAGGTCAAATTGTTATGTAATGTAGTTAATTGGGGAAGGTACTAGTTTCCTTCTTTGTTCTTTACACAGAATACCTGTCAGATCAAATCCTGCTCTGCAGGTGGTAATATAGATTAGTTTGTAGGTTTTACTTTGGATCCATTTGAACTTGGCAAAACCTTTGGTTGGATTATTTTACAGATCTGATTAGTAAAGAGGAATGTAGAATTCTCAGTGCTGTGACATTTTGGCATAATAAAAAAAAATTAGGTGCTTAGGTTAAATCCTCCTTTTCTCTCTATGAACCTCTTTGAAACTCAGTTTCCCTGTATGTAAAATGGGAAAAATACATTTAGCTTTCCAATGAGAGTTATGAGGACTAAGTAAAATAACACTAATGAAGTGCTTGGTACATAGTAGTTTCTCAGTCTGAGCTGGCTTTCCTCCTAATATTTTAACACTTTCTGTTGTGTTTAGATATCTGATATCCATGTTACTGGAGAGTCAGAGGATATGTCTGCGAAGGAGAGATTGCTACTGTGGACACAGCAGGCAACAGAGGGTTATGCTGGAATACGGTGTGAAAATTTCACTACCTGCTGGAGAGATGGAAAACTATTTAATGCCATCATTCATAAATACAGGTATGGAATTTGTGGGGTCTGTTTTCTTAGACAAATATGAGAAGTGTTTCTTCCATTTCCATATTTTAAAATAACCTTTTATTATTATAGAAGCAATACATGTGCATGGCAGAAATTTAGAAAATACAGACCAAGTACAAGTAGAAACATCAGATTCTTACCACTGCAAGATCATCACTCTAAGCTTGGTGCATACACACAGACCACAGAGCTATATCATATCTTTGGATTTTGCTAGTAACTTGGAAGACAGTAAGCTCTGACATATAGAGTCTTCAAGTGGGTGAGCATGATTGTACAAATGGAGAACTGATGAGTTGTAGGGTAAGGGTTTAGTTCAGACTTAGAGCTCACACATGTCCAAATTACAGTCTCCTACACTGGTTGCTGTGATGAGTAGCTGGGTTCAAAAGAGGACAACTTTGGGGTCGTAAACAGTTTTCTGGATGAGAATTATTAACAACCGAATCCCCGTTAACACTGACATAGCACTTACTATAAAGTGCCAGACACCATCCTACGCAGTTTTTACATATATTGATTTATTTAGTTCTTACAGCATCCCTATATCATCATTCCCAGTTACCATACAAAAACTGAGGCACTGAGTAAATACTTGCTTGCAGTCACACAGAGCAAGTGGCAGCTTTGAGATTCAGACCTGGGGCCTCTGGCTTTTGACTCTATGCTTTCAATGTCTTCTAAGGAGCTAGAGCCCCAGAAAATATTTATTGAAAACAATACGTGTGTTGATCTCAGTAACTTTTCTTAGTTTTGAAAAAAATATATCATGTTGTTGAAGAATGTCTTCCTAAGTAGAGTAAGCTTAAGCTATAGCTCATTGGACTAACAAATTTATTTGATAAAAATAGTAATTATATAGAATAGTTAATATTTTGATAACTTTCTACATGTGGGGCATTCTGTTCATTGTTTTCCATATGTTATCCCATTCAAATCTCCTAACAGTCCCACAAAACAGGAACTGTTATTATCCCACTTTTGCAGAGGAGGAACCTTGGGTTTGCCAAGGTCTCGCTGCTAATACATCATAGAGCTGAGATTTTAATCTCGGTCTGCTTGATTTAAAATCCCATTCTCCCCATCTGTCTTCCTTCTCTTTCTTTTTTTCTTTTCACTCCCCTGAGGACCTTACTCTTTCCCTCTTTTTTTTTTTACAAAGGGGAGAGATCTTTTTCTCTTTCCCTCTTTTTTATTTTGGAAATTTTAACATCAGTCAAACTGTAATGAATCTCCCACGCATCCGCACCCAGAGCCCCTTTATAACACTGTAATAATCTGCTTCTTTATGGAACATTTCAGTAGAGGTAGGTATAGTTTGCCTGATTAATAAGAAAAATCAGAATCAACTCGCCTACACTTGTTGAAAATAAAGTACCAGATCTCCTTAAGTAACACAGTGCCAAGAGGGTTTAGTCGGTACAGACATTGCTGTCATCATACTGCGCTTCTATGTGACTTAAAACATGAGGCCATCAGAAGGCTGCATAATTGGATATATTTTATACCTGGGATGGTAAGATCTTGGCCTTTAAATAAAAATATTTGGATTGTTATACCTGAAGGATTTATGTCATGATGTACCTTTGAGTGTGTGCTCTTTTCTCTTTGAAGTGTTTTAAGTAGAAGCAAAGCATTTAGAAGCCAGCTATTATTCTAAAACAATTGACTTTTAAAAACAATGGTCTCCGGACATTGTCTCTTCAATACTTGTGAAAGAGTATAAGTACAAATTAGTATATACATGCTGTGTGTTTTTCTCCTACATATGTGTCAGAAATGCTGAAATTTCCTGGGGAAGTTTAACATTATAGAGCTCATATTGCTTTAGGAGAGTATTTGGATCTTTTGAATATTATTTGCTTTGAACTTTTAATTTGACAGAGGGATCATTTTAGAAAATTGTTTAGCTTTACTGGAGCACCTGGCTGGCTTACTCACTGGAGCATGTGACTCTTGATCTTGGGGTTGTGAGTTCAAGCCCCACGTTGGGTATAAAGATTACTTAAAATCTTTTTTTTTTTTTTTTTTTTTTTTTTTTTTTTTTTTTTTTAAAGAGAAGAGGGGCATCTGGGTGGCTCATTTGGTTAAGCATCTGACTTCTGACTTTGGCTCAGGTCATGATCTCATGGTTCTTGGGATCGAGCCCCATGTCAGGCTCCACACTGGCAGTTTGGAGCCTGCTTGGGATTCTCTCTCTCTCCCTCTCTCTCTCTGCCCCTCCCCTGCTCTCACATGTGCATACGTGCGTGTGCGTGCTCTCTCTGTCTCTCTCTCTCAAAATAAATAAATAAACTTAAAAAAAAAGAATTGTTTAGTTTTAACTTTGAACTTTGATTTCCTAGTTGGCTTTGTTTTCCCTTGTTAGAATTCATGGTAGAAATACTGAGTATCAGGTTTAAGTGCTCACAAGATTTCTTTGTTGCTTATGTTCATCATCATGTGCCTCTTAAATACTACTGTGGCCTTTTTCACTGGAAGAAACTTTTCATGTGTAGAACTGTTTTTAGCTAAAAAGTACTCGGGCTTTTCTTTTTACTTAAAAAATGATCGAGTACTTTTCTTCTAGCATGTGTAAGAAATGGATGGGGTTGAACTACACATAGTTTTCACTGTTGAATGCTTTAAAATACTCTAAAGGGGGAAAGAGAAAGTTATAAACAATTGAAATATCACTGTAAGAAGATTTTTGGATATTGGACAGCAATAATCAGATTTAGAGAGTAGTGTCTAATTTATAGTTGTTTTTACTTGATAATTATTCCCCTAAATTTTGTGATGTATTTGGACTTGCTGTGGAAACATATCCGTTTAATTGGGTTTGGGGGTCTATTTCTAGATTAAAAGTTGTATTTTATATATGAGTTTCATTTGACTTATGTAATAAAAATGATCTGAGGTGGTACATGGGTTTGGTTTCTACTTAAATACCAAGCCTAACTGTATGGAGTACTCGGTTGAGAAGGATCTTGACAGGGAGTGAGGGCTTAGCAGGAAAGAACCTTGAGATTCCTGGAGTGGATGGGCGGAGGATTGTGGTGCCACTCGTGAAGCAAGTTTGCACGCCCCAAAGAGAATATGAAAGATTTCCCTGGGGATTGCAAGGAAAGTGGATACTCTTTGTCATTTCAACTATTTTTTTAAAGGTTTTATTTATTTATTTTGAGAGAGAGAGAGAGAGAGAGTACTAGCATGAGTGGGTGAAGGACAGAGAGACAGAGAGAGAGAGATAATCTCAAGCGGGCTCCACATACAAGCCTCAATCTCTTGAACCATGAGATCTTGACCTGAGCTGAAATCAAAGAGTTGGACGCTTAACCTACTGCGTCACCCAGGTGCTTCCTATGCCCCGTATTTGTCATTTAAAAATAAACAAGTATTGTAGTAAATGATCTGGTCAGATTTTTGTGTACACATCTCCTGAAGATTTAGAAATATTGATCTGAAATGGGGACAGAATAATAGCACCCTTCAGATTTTGTATTGCTGTCAATACTGTCAAAACTTAAGTACATTAATTTGGATTGCCTAGCATAATTTTATTAGTGTTCCCACATAGAATATGACTTATGAAGTGGAGAGAATGTTTGTTAACCCCAGTAAGCAGTACTCGACTAACATGAAATAAAAAAGAAATTTTTATAGTAAGAGTAATTTATAGACATTACACAATAAAAACCATCCCTGAAGTTAAAAAGAAAGTAACTGTTGCATAGAAGGCACCCAAGAAATATGTGTGGACTGTTGACCATGTATCAATTTCTGTGTTAGCTGTTTTTATATATGGTAGCTTTTAAAATGATCACAGTCCTGTGAAATAGATGACACTATTTCCATTTTTATCTGCATTTTAAATGATCACATTATTAAATTACTGAAGAAACTGGGGCTCAAAAGGGAAACTAATGTACTCGACATACCTTTTAAATGATGGAGGTGACAGCTCAGGAGTCTCAAGTCCTCATATGCTTCTGTGTAACTACTTACCATAATACCCTGCAGGTAAACTAGATATCCAGAAATGGAACTGTTGACCTGAGCAACTGTGCTAGGGCAGTGTTGAAAACTAATGATATTCAGCAAAGATACATGAGAATTCTCAATGAATTTAAGAAATGTCTACATGAATAGTATATATATAAATGCCAACTAAGATCTTTGTCCCTCGTAAGAAATTAGTGAGGGACATCAGTCACATAACTTAGAATTAGCCATCAGTGAAAATGGCATTAGCAGCAACTCATAATGTGAGGAAAATTGTAGATAATAAGAGAACATTAAAACGCTCAGCATAAGCGAGAGCAAAACCACAAATGAACTGTTCTGTAGTTTTGGGTATGTCATATTATCCCCAAGAAGGTGAAGAGCCTGGATTATGCAATGGGTAATAAGAATGATAAAGTACTATGATACAGTGGAAGAGATTACAAAGGATAGCTCTTATAGGTTCTACTTAAATAGGTCATTGATTCAGATGGTAACCATGATTATTGCTTATCGTTGTGAGCATGGTATAATATATAGAATTATGGGATCACTATGTTGTATGCCTGAAACTAATACAACATTGTATGTCAACTATCCATCAATTAAAAATAAAATAAATAAATTTTTAGGAAATTCTGTTCCTGATTCCTTGTAGGAAATTCTGTTCTATTTTAGGAAATTCTGTTCCCGATTCCTTCTAGGAACGTCTGTTTTTTGTGTTCAGTTTTCAGTGGAAAGAATTCAAATAATAAAACTACCATATATCTGTACTAGTTTGTACTTGTTTTGTTTGTATAGTTTAAATTTTCTTGAAAGCGTATTAAAATCTTTTCCCTGAAAACCACAGCTGGTAAGAGATCTTAGGTAAATAAACCTCACTCTTGCCCCTAACCTTGGTTTTCATTCAAAAGAATAACAAGGTAGACTGGATTTGATGGACTTAGATCAAAAGGATGTCACAAAAGCATCTGATGAGTAAGTAGCTTATGAGC